GGGAAAGAGAAAAATCACCATTAGATGAACATCACAGTGATAAGTGTTGCAGACAAAATTCACTGATGAACCCTAAAAGCAATGAGTGAACGTTTTGAGGAGAAACAGCACGTTTTCATCGTCTAAAAGTACCTCTCCCAAGATATTTATCAATTACAAAGACAAAAATAATGATTTTACTGTAGAGATACCCCAAAGGAGACCAAGGTTAATGTCACCAGTAGCAAGACATCACACACTCCATAATTATCACACCCTGAAAAAGGTACTTTCTTCTTTGTAATTCTTTCCTGCTTTTCATTGCTTGGTTTAGATTTTTTTTTCTATCCCTTGTGTTTTCTGTTTATACCCTTTCTAGTTCTCTGATGGTTGCCACCCTTAAATCCTCAACGCATCTATTTAACCTTACTATTTTCTATCAAATGTAGCGATAGTTATCATCCATAACTTCACCCCAGACAAGACAGGAACATTAGCGTATGTTCACCTGTCTCCCTCCTCTTTTATCCCCCAACCATCTCCCATGGGGACTGGTAATTCCAGATTATTTGCATTATTATTCACCAATGCATTCCCAATTAACTCTCAGTATTTACTCATTTATTTGTTTTGCAATGCTTCTTATATTCTATTTCTTCTTTCTTGGATTCACATTTCATTGTGCTTGAGTATATCCTCAAGTAATTTTCTCTCAAAGGTCCTTGAGGGGTAAAACTGTTGAGCTCCTGCATATTTGAAACATCTTGATTTTGCTTTCAAATTGCATTTAGCTGAATACAGAAATTTCATTTCAAAATTAGGTAGTCTAAGAGCTTTGAGGCATCAGCTGTCTCAACTAGGCTGAGACCTGAAATGCATTTAGTACTTTTTCTTCTTTCTTCGTGCTCTGAAATGGTACCTTCTGTATCAACACTTGGGTTTTCCTTCATTCATTCTGCTCAATGCTCAGGGAACACCCACAATCTAAAAATCCTTCCTCAGAGCTGAAATATCTCCTTGAATCCCTGTCTCTCCACTTTCTGTCCTTTCTGAAACTCCCAGTCTTAGACAGATGTTGGAGCTTCTGGGTCTATCTTTTCTATCCTTTAGTAGCTTTTCCACTTCCGCTCTACATTTGTGCTTTCACGTTGCACAGTATTCAAAGTAACTCTCTAAGAAAATACCACGTCATCACCGATTTCCTCCTGCTTTTCACCCAGCTATTCATGGAATTTATGGCATCCTCATGATGGTATAAAGAGGGAGGTAGAGGGCCAAGAAATGTCATTCTACGTTACTACAAATAGCACCTATGTCCTTATAGGCTTTTGTTCAGCTCTGCTTGCTTCCTTAACTTAAATTCCTGGAGGAAGAATTAAGTTTCAAGAATGCAATTTGTGTGAACCTACAAGCACATGCTACTGGGTCCCCTTCCCTGTAGAGAGACTACCCCAACCATGGATGTACCACACAGCCTGGAGGAATGGCAGAGTCTCCTGAACACCACCCCCCGGTCATTTGGAGTCACAGGTCACTGTTTACGTCCTACTGCCCTGACTGCATCATAGAGCACCATTCCTCAACCCTACCAACGACCGCAAAATACATAACTGGTTCTATAACAGTGCAAGTAGGTCTGCCTCAGTGAGCCTTTCCCAGTCTTTCTGTGACACTGTCTCTGAATATTTTAAAGTTCATCTTGAGTAGACTGAAAGACTGAAAAAAAGTGTTGACAGCTTCAGACAGCTGAGGAGATACAGGAATCTAGCAGAGAACAGACACGTCTGTTTTTTTTGGCTTTATCAGTTCTACGTAACTGTTCCACGCACACCATGACTCAGGAGATGATGATGGGACCACAAAGAGGTCCCCCCAAGGATGCGTGGCTATCCCCAGGGTCACCGTTCCCAACGCTGGGTCCACTGCAGCCCTGGGTCTGACTCTGAAGACCCAGTGGCCCGGGAACAGGGAAACACAAATGTATTTTCTTCTCTTTTCTTTCTCTTTGGGGCCTGAAGGAATCATCTTAGACAAGAAGAAATACACCTTGAGCATCCATTCATTTGAAACACTTTTGGGGGAATGGGTGACAGCCAATTTGGCTAAAGACTAATGACATCACTTAATGTCAATGACTAAGGTCTGTTCTCATCCCTCCCCCCCAAAACACCGACGTTTAAAAGGACATTTGCCAGCCTGACGGGTCATAAGTATCACTGAGCTGTTTGATGTGACATGATTTTTTTGTTTGTTTGTTTGTTTGTTTGTTTTTTACAGAGTGAGTCAGTTATACATATATATATGTTCCCATATCTCTTCCCTCTTTGTCTCCCTCCCTCCCCCCCCCCCTATCCCACCCCTCCAGACAGCCACAAAGAACCGAGCCAGTTTCCCTGTGCCATGCGGCTGCTTCCCACTGGCTATCTACCTTACGTTTGTTAGTATATATATGTCCATGTCTCTCTCTCGCCCTAACACACCTCACCCTTCCCCCTCCCCATATCCTCAAGTCTGTTCTCCAGTAGGTCTCTGTCTTTATTCCTGTTTTACCCCTAGGTTCTTCATAACATTTTTTTTTCTTAAATTCCATATATATGTGTTAGCATACGGTATTTGTCCTTCTCTTTCTGACTTACTTCACTCCGTATAACAGACTCTAGATCTATCCACCTCATTACAAATAGCTCAATTTCGTTTCTTTTTATGGCTGAGTAATATTCCATTGTATATATGTGCCACATCTTCTTTATCCATTCATCCGACGGCGGGCACTTAGGTTGTTTCCATCTCCGGGCTATTGTAAATAGCGCTGCAATGAACATTTTGGTACATGACTCTTTCTGAATTCTGGTTTCCTCAGGGTATATACCTAGTAGTGGGATTGCTGGGTCATATGGTAGTTCTATTTGTAGTTTTTTAAGGAACCTCCATACTGTTCTCCATAGTGGCTGAACCAATTCACATTCCCACCAGCAGTGCAAGAGTGTTCCCTTTTCTCCACACCCTCTCCAGCATTTATTGTTTCTAGATTTTTTGATGATGGCCATTCTGACTGGTGTGAGATGATATCTCATTGTAGACATGTGACATGATTTTAATGTCTGTGAAGGCAGAGTACATATCACTTGGTCATGCCGTCTACTCTGGTTGCATCCATCCATCCATCTCTGCTTATCATTTGGAAGAGTTCTTTCATTATCCTATGGACAACACCCCTTCCTCGTTATGAATTTTGTAAATGGGCTCCCTAATTGGCTTGTTTTACCTTTTACGTTTACACAAACACATCTGACATACAGCAGTTCTGGTACCCTTTGTTTTGTGTAATTAAAAATGGCAGACACATGAAGCAATCATCTATGTCAGTGTCTGGAGACGTTTTTCGTTATCACAAAGGCAAGGAGGGTTGGCGGCGGGCGGGGGGTGCTCCTGGCACCTGGTGGGTGGAGACCAGGGATGCTGCCGCACACCCCACAGGGCACAGGACGCCCCTCATCCGAGGGTCATCCAGCCCCAGATGTCAGTCATGCCAAGATTGAGAAGCTATTTGTCTCGACTTCTAAGATTTTCCTATGCTTTAAATTTTACCTTTATCTTTAAGATCTACCTGGAAATCAGGTGGGTATGTGTTCAACTCTTATATAAAAGGATCACATCATTGCCTTTCTCTGATACAGTGATGTGATGAATTACAATGATCGATTTTTATACAATGAACTATCCTTGCTTTCTTACAGCAAGCAGCATTTCTTTCTTTTTTTGTCTGTTTTCTTTTATTTAAGTACAGTTGATCTACATACAATGTTGTGTTAGTTTCTGCTGTACAGCAGGGACAGTTATACAGACGCATACATTCGTCTTCATAGCCTTCTCCATGAGGGTTCATCCCAGGACACTGAAGACAGTCCCCTGTTCTATACAGTAGGACCCTGTTGTTCATCCAGCGTCATTTCTCTATTCCAGGGCTAGAGTTGCCGTGTTCATAATCTGTACTGGGGGGGCTTTTCTCATCTATATGGAAACACAACTAAAGCTGTAAGTCATGTTTCCGTATCAAGATTAGCACAGTGTCTTCAAATAAGTGAACACATTGATATTTTTCCCCCCCAGGCTCTCAGATGGTTCTTTTTGCATGGAAATTAATTTATTGTGCCCAGTTTTGCAGAACATCCCTTGCAATTGCCCAGGCCCAGGTCCTTCCCCCAGATAAGCCTTTGATAACATTCTCCATTTCTTCCACTGTTAACTGGTCAACAGAAGGGCTTCACTTCTGCTTTCAATGTGGACCATCTGAATTTCC